GATATTTAGATGTTTGTTGTTTTAGGCCTAAAAAGTAAAAATAACAAATGAATAACCAATGTGGATCTTTTAGAGGTAAGTGTAATCAAATATTATGACACATGACCTGTTGCAGCATTCCTGTCCTCTACTCATAAAGAACACATGGGGTCCTATTTCGTTAAACAGGCGCTCATGCTCTCGGCATAAAAACGGGCACGTGTTAAATTTGGTGCCAGAGAAAGGATACTCAATTGTTTTTGGGACCATGATACGCCTCACTAGGCGTTACGCCTCACTAGGCCTTAAGCCGCACCGAGCTGCATGGCCATGGGTGCAAAGCAGTTTCTAATTGCTCATGTCATAGGCGCGGCCCACTATTGGACATTCCCCGCAAGGGGAGATCTTGCAGTTTACCTGTCAGTGTCATGGATGGCATCTCATAGTGAGTCTATTTCTGTTTTTGCAATGTCAAACATGCATGCACTCCCACTGGCCTGATTTTAATGCAAATGAAGGAGGTGTCTCTACGATTGGGCAGCAAAAGGCTACGTTCAATTCCAAAACGTCACACAGCGGTGCAAACGTCCTGTTACGTCCAATTCTACCTGTGCACAGTCTAGCAAAGTACCGGAAGAAAGAAAACTCCACCCATGCGCACAGTGAGATTGCGCTTTGTGGTAGACTTGCAGTGAGAATGAAAATAAGGCCCATGAACTCAGAGCATCCTGGCCAACATGAACTGTATGTAATTAGTGATTATAAATGTCAGAGGTCAGTATTACGATAATCTTTGTGACTGTCAATTGTCACATTCTGATGTAATTCATTACAGACTTTTCCACTCATTCCACATTATACTATCGATACCTCTCAATGCATTTGAATACCTTGGAAACCTAAATTTATTTCAGTCATTTTAGTGGTTCAACTCAAAAGTGAAGCTCATATATAGATTCACTACACACAGAAAGGAATATAAAAAGATATATATTTTTTATGGGTCAGAGTTATAGCTTTAAGACGACATAAAACCAAGATTCAGACTAATGAAATTAGAGTACTGTGTCACATAGGAATCCAACTGATTTTGAATAGGGAAATGACTGTCGTCAAATGTACTTCAAACTTCACAATTTATGTACGATATAAAATTACATTTAAAAAAAGTTTCCTCATTATGAAACCCTGTTTGTAAAAACATAATGAATGAATAATTTCAGAGTATCCATATCCATCCATTTTCTGATCCGCTTGATTCTCACGAGGTTCGCAGGGGGTGCTGGAGCCGATCCCAGCCGTCTTCGGGCAGTAGGCGAGGAACACCCTAAACTGGTTGCCAGCCAATCGCAGGGCTGAAAACTGAAAAAACTCAAAACTATATAATAAGCCTTTCACTATTTAAATTTAACCGCTTTGCTATGATATGCCAATTCGTTGAGCTGCACCTTCATAACGGCACACAAATTCTGCCTTAAAAACGATAATATTGCTCAATTTTGACTGACACTGTCGGAGAGGTGTTCATTTTCAATACGTTTATTCACGTCATTGTAATTTGCAGCGGTACAAGTGCACTACATCATATATAGTAGAACAAACAGGATGCTCAATCAGACACTGTAGGTGCGCAGTCAAATTGTCAGTGAAGGGGAGAGCATATCTACGTGAATGACTTTGAATTACTGAGCAGGGAGCAGCAAAACAAGAGGCGAACATTTGTTTCTGCCGAACTCTAGTCCAAAGGCTATGTCAGAGTCTCTGCCAGTCTAAGCGGCTGCTGTGTATGTGTGTGTGTGTGTGTGTGTGTGTGTGTGTGTGTGTGTGTGTGTGTGTGTGTGTGTGTGTGTGTGTGTGTGTGTGTGTGAGATTGCGTGTGGATGTGTGTGTCAAAGACCGAAAGATAGTTGGTGTTTGTGCTATACCCTACTGTGTGTGTAAATTAGATTAACATCACTGTTGTTGCTGACCCCAATGTGAGCGGAGCCGTGCGTCCATGCTGGAGCCATATCAAAGACAATGTGCCCTAGTGACACACAACAGCACATGCAGCATCACGCAGCCGCAGCCCTAAAGGCATGATGCATAGCGGCACGCAAACATACATGGCTCTCAAGCATCTGATACAATTTTAAGATTCAGGAAAGGGAATGGACATGTTCAGGCAACACAAGATGGCATACAGAGAAAGAGGTATAACCAAGGACATTCAGATAAAGGCGGGAAAAGGAGGGCATGTGTAGACTGGGGGTTGGGGGAAGGGAATGATACGAACATGGAGGATGAGGAATAAGGAGACAGTGCAGTAGAAGCAGGAAGCTGCAAAATGTATCAAGAGGAATATAAAGTAATATCTGCAAGGAATTGCAATAAACTATTTTAAAAAGCACGTTAAAAAAAATGGAAAAAGGATCTCTCGATATATCTGTCTGCCACCTGACTGATCCGCTGATCCACTCTCCTTATGACACCATGAGGCGCTTTTAATGAGGGAGATACTCTCAACCACTTGTGAAAGACAACAGACAAGTATCAGTGCACTGGAAATAATTCAGGGCAGACAGTTTGCATGAAAACGCAATTGCGCAGATCTGCCTGCATGGCCAGCCAAGTAGACAGACAAAGCCACTGAGGCTACAGCCACACACCCCAGACAAAGCAGTACAGATGATGCAAATGGATATTGGGAGCATTGTTAGTGTCAAGTAGACAGTTAATTACTGACAGTTTTGTGAATCAACATTCTGATCAGAATTTAGAATAACATTTAAAAAAGAAAAGAGAGAGAGAGAGAGAGAGAGAGAGAGAGAGAGAGAGAGAGAGAGAAAGAGAGAGAGAGAGAGAGAGAGCGAGACAAGTGCACTGTGTACAGCGGCACAGGAGTCAACAACATGGTGCCTGTGGGCCCCATAGGGGTAGCTTACGGGTCTGTTCTAAGAATAGCTCACCAGTGATGGGACATTGTGATTTTCAAGGAATGTTGTGTAAGTGATGAAAAGAGAATGCGGAGCAAGAACACGTGCAGAGATGATTTATTTTTTTAATTGTCACATATTTATGTTTATCTGTTTTTCACCTTGAAATTATTGACATGTTAGAATAGAAAAATACAATGTTGTCAGAAAGTTGATCTGTTCCTGCGTCGAGCCTTTGTTAACGGTCCGAGTGAAAATCTCTGACACATGATCAGTGCTTTCACCTTGATAAATATGTATGAATATGATAAATTAAATACTGGAAACAACATATAATGAAAAGTATTTTTTAGAAGTGCGTATCACACTGGCAGCCCTGCGCATTAATCAGTACCCACAAGGTAGCTCTTAATTTCAATATGGTTGCTGACCCCCGTAGCATGTAAGGGTCTGAGCATCATCTGCACATCCACAATTTTGCAATGGTTCAGTCCTCGTCAGCCACATTCCACAAATCTGACTTTTTTTTGCAAATTTGTCCCACCACCCACCCAAATGTCATCTGATTGACACACTGAATAACCAGAAATAATAACATTATTCAACCTAAAATTACATGACATCAAATAAAATAAAATGCCATTTTTGACTGATGCAATGCAACTCTAAATCCCTGCAACCCAAAGCCACAATATAACCACATTGATAAAATAATACTGGAAGAAGACATGAGCATTCTCTGCATAAAGCACTTGCATTTGGTTGCTATGGCTGGTCGATGAAATTGTGATTTATCCCCATCAAATGCAATAGTTGCCTTTTCACAACAAGCGGTAACGACAAATGTGAGGTAGTGACATGACCATGCACTTGCTCGATGCACTCCTTTTTAATCACATCAAATACATCTCATCGGGGCATTTGCTGTTCAGGCACAGCTTAGCACCGTTGCTGCGCTGCCGAACATATGACGCCTTGCACACGCACACACGTGCAAAAGATGCACCCGTGAAAACATTATACTGGCTCTTGTAATGTCATAATACTGAATTGATCTTCTTCCTCTCTTTCTCCAACACAAACATGCTCAGCGTGACTCCCCTGCTTGTTGAGCCAAAACAGGACAACTTATATCCATATGGGTGAATATTTCAGGCATTTTTTTCATCGCACTGGAATTTTAAGGCTGACCTACTTCTGAGCTAGAAATGATTATCCCAATACCATGAAAAAAAAGTTAATTATGAGCTCATGCGCCCAAGCCTTTGCTATTGTTTATTTATCAGCACTATCTGCTGCCTAAACATAAGGTGCTTATTTGATTGATATAATTGCGTTCTTTCAAAAAAAACACTTTCATGAAATATTGTAAGTCGCCTATGGAGGCAACCACCACCCATCCCCCTCCTCCTCCTCCTCTTCATACTCCAACAGCATCGGCTGCTCCTCTCTAACCCCTCCCTTGCCTTATTCCTCTGCTGTTGCTAAGACTGTTGAGCGTTTGCTAGTCTACTCCAATAGGTGGATCTCCTTCTGCGTTGCCTATGGCAACGCACAATATTCCACACAGAATGAGTGCAGAAGCAGAGCATACAGATTTCACACATGTGATAAGACATGACCTATTTAGGGGTTTAAAAAACGGCAAACATGACATTTCCGAATGCCATTGAGTGTAGTGTTTCAAAAATCTAAAGCACTATATGCCAAAGAGTTACATAGTGTGAAAGAAATAAATTGCAATGAATGAACATCGAAGCTGATGTTCAAAAGGACAATCCCCATGTGTCTCCTCAGGGTGACTTGTGAGTCACAGCACGCCAGCTGAAGGCTCGCTCTCTCTCTCTCTCTGTCTCTCTCTAAAATACGTAGAAATCAGCTCAACTGCATTCGCACACGCATACTTCCAAACACTCATGTTAAAGCTCATATCACTATTTCAAAAGGTTGACAGCAGTCATTGTGAAGTCACTGTTTTAAACACGGTCATTCCATTCAAGACATTTGATGTGTTCAGTTTGAGAAGACAAGACAGAAGTGGATTAAGTGCACACAGAACTTGACCTAAAACATTAGAATGAAGGTGAAAATGTTTGTTGAGTTAAGTCATACCTCCCCCGAAGTGTGTCTCCTGTCAGGGAGCACCAGAGTGTTGGCGTGGCTGCCCGGGACTACGGTGGAACCGATACTCATTCTGGGTCCGACTAGCATGTAGCGCTTGTCTCCTGATCTGTACTGGATGCTGTGACACAGCGTGCCATCATAATTGGCGTCTTGCAGATATTTGGAAGTGTACTCTGTGGATTTGGAGCACTGCATGGCGATCAGCACGATGATGCTGATGACAAAAAGGAGCGAAACCGAGCCCAAAGTGACGATGAGATAAAAAGTCACGTTGTCCTCCTCGTCCACTTTTGCTGCACTTTTGATGTCAGAAGCCGCAAAAGCCTCTTTGGGCTCCACGAGCTTGACGGTCACAGTGGCTGTTGCCGAGAGCGACACGTTGCCGTTGTCTTTGACCAGGATGAGCAGTCGATGCTCAGCCTCGTCCGTCTCCGTGAAGGAGCGAAGTGTTCGGATCTGGCCCGTGTAGCGGTCCAAAGAAAACAGGCTGTGGTCGCTCACTTGCTGCAGCGAAAAGAGCAACCAGCCGTTATATCCAATATCAGCATCATAGGCTCGGACTTTAGTCACCAAGTCTCCTGCTTTGAGATTCCGGGGAATTTCCTCCACGCCTTCGGCAGAACCGTTGGAGCTGACTGGATACAGGATGACTGGAGCGTTGTCGTTCTGATCCAGAATGAAAACCTTCACTGTCACGTTGCTGCTCAGTGGAGGACTTCCACCATCGGCGGCCACCACTTGGAATTGGAAACTTTTCAGCGTTTCAAAGTCAAAGCTTTTCAGGGCTGAAATGTGTCCATTTTCAGAGTTAATGCTCAGGAAGGAAGTCATTATTTTGTGTTCATCCCCATTTCTCCCAATGTCAAATGATATGACAGCATTCTGCCCCTCATCACTATCATGAGCACTGACTGAAAACAAAAAGCCCCCCGCAATATTGTTTTCGTTGATGTAGAAAGTATACAGATTACTTGAAAACTCTGGACTGTTATCATTTACATCTGACACAGTTACACTAATTGTTTTGTGAGATGACAAAGGTGGTTCCCCAGCATCTTTTGCAACTATTGTCACATCATATTTGGCCTGATGCTCTCGGTCCAGATGCGATTTGGTGATAAGAGAGAACATATTATCTTGTAAAGAGGGTGTTAGCATGAAAGGTATGTCACCCCTCACATGACATGTGATCTTTCCATTGACACCCGAGTCTTTATCGTTTACACTTATCAGGGCTACAGTGGTCCCAGGTTTGGAGTTCTCTGCAATAGCACTTGAAAAGGATGTTACTTCAATTTCGGGTGTATTATCATTTAAGTCCATAATAGATATTATCACACTTTTCTCTGTTTCTAGGGGAACTGGTCCTTTATCGGATGCTTTGATATCAATTTCATACTTGTCTTTTGCTTCAAAATCTATTGAACCTTTAACCGTAATTTCTCCAGTAACGGCATCAACATCAAAAACCTTGCGTAATTTACTGTTTACATTATTCCCAAAGGAGTACACCACCTCGCCATTGGGACCGTCATCTAAATCCGTCGCGTTTACTTGCAAGATAGTTGTACCAATTGGCGCATTTTCCTTAAGCACTGCGGAATATGTGTCGGAGGTAAAAACCGGCATGTTGTCGTTTACATCTAAGACATTAATTAAAATCGCCGTGGTTCCTGACCTCGCTGGCTTCCCTCCGTCGAGTGCTGTCAGCAGCAGTTTATGACTCCGAGCACTTTCTTTGTCCAGCGCCTTGTGTAAATACAAAACGGGGATTTTCCCGTCTTCCCCTCGGTCTTTAACTTCCAACCGAAAATGCTCATTTTCGCTGATTCTGTACGAGTGAACTGAAAACGCGTCGCTGTCTGGGTCGTGGGCGCTCTGCAGCTGAAAGCGCGCACCAGGCAGAGCAGATTCCGATATCTCCAAACGGGTCTCGTTGTCGGGGAAGGTGGGAGAGTGGTCGTTCACGTCCAAAATCTCAATGGCGACATAATGCACTTCCAAGGGGTTCTCCACAACGATCTTAATATTAACAACACAGGGGCTGATTCGTTCACAGACTTCCTCTCTGTCTATTTTCCTCATCACCCTTAACACGCCGTTATTCAGTCCAAACAGAGGTTCAGTCGGCCCGGAAACGACGCGGAATCCTCGGGCCTTCAGGCCGCTCACGTCCAACCCTAAATCTTTTGCAACATTCCCAACAACGGCGTTATCCACCCCCTTTTCGGGAATAGAGTACCGCAGCTGCGCCATGGTGAAATTAAACGTGAGATCCAAACAAAAGATGACCACCAGCAAGCGCTGCGTCCATGACGCGTGTCCTCCTCGAGACATACCCGACCGGTTAGCAGTCCGAATGTGAGTCCGTGCGGGGAAACAACTGGAGAAATTTGGGGAAAAAAAGCAAATAGCTAACTCCAACACCCAATACTGACAACGGTAACGAATGAGGGGTTAGACAAACGCCCCGATTCAAGAAGCGCACACTGACGCGCAAGCGCAATAAACCAAACCGCTGACGTATTGAAATGAGATTTTTTTATATCTCACAAGCAGTGACACCAAGCGAACAGAAGTCACAATGCATACCAACATTTCAGAGAAAAATAGGTAAAATATTAAGTAAAATAGGTGTGCTATTTTTAAAACGCCCAAACCTGCTCTTTGCAGTCGATGTCAAAGTACTTGTAATTATACTTTAGTTCCAAGAATGGTATAAAAGGCATTCAAAGTCCATTCAAAATACTGGAAAAAAACACCCAAAAAAAGACAGGCCTTCGTCCGACATTGGATCGTCATTCATTCACAAACAGACCTGACAGATATGCTAATTACAACCACTTGCAAACCACGTGACATGGTTTACCGAAAGTGTTGTAAAAGATCCAACAAACCCCAAAACATGCTCCAGAACTAATCAGATTCGAGGGTGTAAACTGTGAAGAACTTACTTTCGCTGATTTCAAATTAAATATGAGCTTCATTATTTTGCGAAAATATAGAAAATGTGCCTTCTTGATTTCAAAACGGGATTATGCACGAAATTGGAGATATTAACTGGTTTATTTGAGTATAAAGCCTACTGACTCACAGCTACATTACCTATGAATATGCTTTTTTTTGCAGTATGTTAAATAAGCAAACATGATATTATTATTGATGTTGTCAATAGTATTATTATTTTCATAATACTAAATAACATGTAGTAGAAGTAAAAGAAAAATGTATCAAAATTACCACACTGAAAAAAATGGTACGTTGAATTGACTCAATTTTATTTACACGCTTGGTTAAACACAAAATCATCTGGATCCTCCATATCCAAATTTTAAGTAGATGTATAGCCGACTTAAAAAAAAGGTGTCAGGATCCAGATGATTCTATTTCGTAGAAAGACATGATGAAATAAAATGTAGTAAATTTAACACACCATTTTTTCTGTGTATATTGTTGCTGTTATAATAAAATAACATGGATGGATGATGGCTAACAACAATTATATTATTATTATGATTATTATGATTAATGGCTCCACAGCTAGAGAAAATATAGCTGGATATTTTTCTCATCAAAAAACGTTTCATGGAACAATGCACCTCGCAATGACAATAATATTAATAATAATAATAAAGTAAAATCATCTATATTACATGCATATCATTGCCTGAATCAAACAAAGCTTCCCTCCCGAAAGGGTCAAAAACATCAACAGGTATTCATGACATTTTTAAGGTCAAAGACTTAGAAATTAGGGGACGCCAGAAATGTAACTAAGTCAATTTTTGCCTTACCTCCCCCGAAGTGTGCCTCCTGTCAGGGAGCACCAGAGTGTTGGCGTGGCTGCCCGGGACAGTGGTTGAACCGATACTCATTCTGGGCCCAACTAGCATGTAGCGCTTGTCTCCTGATCTGTACTGGATGCTGTGACACAGTGTGCCATCATAATTGGCGTCTTGCAGATATTTGGAAGTGTACTCTGTGGATTTGGAGCACTGCATTGCGATCAGCACGATGATGCTGATGACAAAAAGGAGCGACACTGAGCCCAAAGTGATGATGAGATAAAAAGTCACGTTGTCCTCCTCGTCCACTTTTGCTGCACTTTTCACATCAGACGCTGCAAAAGCCTCTTTGGGCTCCACAAGCTTGACGATCACAGTGGCTGTTGCCGAGAGCGAAACGTTGCCGTTGTCTTTGACCAGGATGAGCAGCCGATGCTCAGCCTCGTCTGGCTCCGTGAAGGAGCGAAGTGTTCGGATCTGGCCAGTGTAGCGATCCAAAGAAAACAGACTGTGGTCACTCACTTGCTGCAGCGAAAACAGCAGCCAGCCGTTATATCCGATATCGGCATCATAGGCTCGGACTTTAGTCACCAAGTCTCCTGCTTTCAGGTTGCGGGGAATTTCCTCCACCCCTTCGGCAGAACCGTTGGAGCTGACTGGATACAGGATGACTGGAGCGTTGTCGTTCTGATCCAGAATGAACACTTTCACTGTCACGTTGCTGCTGAGTGGAGGACTTCCACCATCGGTGGCCACCACTTGGAAATTGAAACTTTTCAGTGTCTCAAAGTCAAAGCTTTTTAGCGCCACGATACTTCCTGTCACAGAGTTAATGTTCAAAAACAAACCAGTGCCGTCACTACTGTTCCTGTAGATGTGATAAGAGATTTGTGCATTTTCACCCTCATCATGATCAGATGCCCTGACTGAAAATACAGGCGCAGACAGCACATTATTCTCACTGACATAAAAAGTATATGGATTCTGTGAAAATTGAGGTGTGTTATCATTCACGTCCGAGACAACCACACTGATTGTCTTTTCTGATGACAGCGATGGCTCACCACCATCCTTTGCAACTATCTTGATCTCATAAAAAGACTTCTCTTCTCTGTCCAAATGTGATTTTGTCATGACTGCATAGAAATTATCTTGCAAGGATGGAGAAATAACAAAAGGGATGTCTTCATTTGTAAAGCAAGAAATTTTACCATTTCTGCCTGAATCCAAATCATGGACACTTATTAGAGCTACGGTTGTTCCAATCCTTGAGTCCTCTGGGACTGATTTTGAAAATGATGTCACATCAATCTCAGGAGGATTATCATTTACATCTATGATTTTTATTGTCACAGTTTTGTCAGTGGACAAAGGGAATGTCCCTTTATCTGAAGCTTGGATGTCAAGTTCATAACTATGACATTTTTCAAAATCTATTTGACCTGCTACTTTAATTTCGCCAGTCTTTGGATTAATATTAAACAGCTCTTGCAAATGCGCGTCCCCTTCTTTGCCAAACAAGTAAATGATTTCTCCGTTTTCCCCCTCATCTAAATCCGTCGCATTGACCTGCATCACTAATGTTCCAGCAGGTGCATTCTCATTTAAAACAGCCGAATAAACATCTTTTGTGAAAACTGGTGCGTTGTCATTAAAATCAAGCACAGCAACAATAATGTCGATTGTTCCAGATCTTGCCGGCCGGCCACCGTCTACAGCGGTGAGCACAAGCCGGTGCTCCTTCCCAGCCTCCCTGTCCAGCTGCTTCTGTAGAATCAGAAAGGGCATCTTACGATCCCCGCCCCCCGTCTAGGGGGGTGAGAAAAAGCCGGTGCTCCTTCCCAGCCTCCCTGTCCAGCTGCTTCTGTAGAATCAGAAAGGGCATCTTACGATCCTCCCCCCTCTCCTTCACCTCCAAACGAAAGTGGTCACTGTTGCTCAGTTTGTATTGTTGTACTGAAAACTGGCCGCCGTCTGCGTCCCTGGCCGGCTGGAGCTGGAACCTCGCCCCTGGCAATGTGGACTCCAGTATCTCCAGTCTTTTTTGTTTCTCTGGAAACACTGGCGCATGGTCATTGACGTCTATCACCTCAATGGCCACATAATGAATTTCCAAAGGGTTCTCCAACACGGTTTTGAGGTTGATCACACAAGCGTTACCTCTCTCGCATACCTCTTCCCTGTCCACCTTTCTGCTCACGTACAGGACGCCGTCGTCTGCGTTCACGTGGAAAAGAGGTTCCGCCCCACTCCCGACAATACGGTAATCTCGAGTTTTGAGCGCACTCCTGTCGAGTCCCAAATCTTTAGCGACGTTTCCAACAACACTGCCCGCTTTCGCCTCCTCCGAAATGGAGTATCTGATCTGGGCCGAGGCTCTGCACCAAAACGTCACCAAAGCCAGCACGAAAGGTCCACTCCTCCAGCGCTTATTCGTACACACGGGCCGTCTGATTCGTGCCATTGTGTGGAAAATAATACTGCACAGCAAATGCAATTTGCGGAACGAAAAAAACACGTCGCGCTCCTTCACCGAGACTGCGCGAACAAAGATGCAGTTCCGCGCAATGGCGTCACACGCGCCGACGTCACCGCGTTGACGACAGAATGTGAGAACGATATCTGAAATAATACCGACACCATGCGAGCCAAATCGCTGTTGCAACGTCAACCACAAAAGTTACAGAGGAAAAAAGGTATGGAGAAAAATTTATGAAGAAATACACAACGCGCTGCGTGTTTAGTATCTTCGTCAACTATGCATTTAAATTGGACTTAAAAAAAGATTTGAGGGCCACTGATCTTATTAAATGCAATAAAACGAAGCTGCTCGTCTTGTAATCAAACGTACAAAACAAGTTTTAAATTCTATCAATTTTTAACTTACTTGTCATGGAAATGAGGACTTAATATTTGACTACTTTAGCACCTGGGAGTTAATTGATTTCATTATATTTATCTGCACTTATTCTAAGATGATAACTTTATACGAATAATATTTTCATAAAGGAGCCATGACAATTGGACTAGTTTGCGCATTTAATGTAATTAAACTTTATCCAATCTAATTGAATGTCATTTTATTAAATATAAGGAAAACTGATGCCTGTTTTGTAATATCATAGAAAAGACTTTTCATGAGATGTAATTTCATGTGATGGAATATAACTTGATGAAAAGAAATGCAGGGATAATTTATGATTTTTTTTTTCGAATGTAATAATGTAATATGTATTTTGCTGATGCTGAGACCTGGAAGTTAATGACTTTGAGCTAGTTTTATTTGAAACTATTCCAATTTAAGAAACTTAATACTTTCAAAAGAGTTGAATGATATTACGATTGTTTTGAAATTTTAATTGTTTTGAATTATTAACCTTTATTTAAACATCAACAGTTTATCAGTTTGTAATAAAAAAAAGCTATTTTTGGTTTGCAAAGTGATTCAAAGATTACTCCTATAAACTACTGGGCCTGTTTGTCTGACAACATTTTGGTCATAGTGCTGTTAACTCTCCAAAAAATAAACCTTTGGTTTGGAATAGTCTAAATTTGAATGATAAATGTTGGCTCAACCTTAAGTCCTCAAAAAATGTTCCTTTAAAAAAAAATTCTAAGAAATTCAGATAAACCAGAGGTACAAATAGATTATGTCTTACCTCCCCGGAATTGTGTCTCTTGTCAGGGAGCACCAGAGTGTTGGCGTGGCTGCCCGGGACTATGGTCGAACCTATACTCATTCTGGGTCCGACTAGCATGTAGCGCTTGTCTCCTGATCTGTACTGGATGCTGTGACACAGCGTGCCATCATAATTGGCATCTTGCAGATATTTGGAAGTGTAAGCTGTGGATTTGGAGCACTGCATGGCGATCAGCACGATGATGCTGATGACAAAAAGGAGCGACACCGAGCCCAAAGTGACGATGAGATAAAAAGTCACGTTGTCCTCCTCGTCCACGTTTGCTGCACTTTTGACATCGGAAGCTGCAAAAGCCTCTTTGGGCTCTACGAGTTTGACAGTCACAGTCGCTGTTGCAGAGAGTGAAACGTTGCCGTTGTCTTTGACCAGGATGAGCAGTCGATGCTCAGCCTCGTCCGTCTCCGTGAAGGAGCGAAGTGTTCGGATCTGGCCAGTGTAGCGATCCAAAGAAAACAGACTGTGGTCACTCACTTGCTGCAGCGAAAACAGCAGCCAGCCGTTATATCCGATATCGGCATCATAGGCTCGGACTTTAGTCACCAAGTCTCCTGCTTTCAGGTTGCGGGGAATCTCCTCCACCCCTTCGGCAGAACCGTTGGAGCTGACTGGATACAGGATGACTGGAGCGTTGTCATTCTGATCCAGAATGAACACCTTCACTGTCACGTTGCTGCTCAGTGGAGGACTTCCACCATCGGTGGCCACCAATTGGAAATGGAAACTTTTCAGCGTCTCAAAGTCAAAACTTTTTAAAGCTGATATTTGTCCATTTTCACTATTTATACTTAGAAATGATGACAGTTTGTTGTCGCCTCTTTCATCTCTGAGAAAATGATACGAAATTTTAGCATTCTCGTTCTCATCATGATCAAAAGCTTTGACAGAAAAGATGGGGGCCCCTGGATTGTTGCCCTCACTAAGATAAAAAGTATAAGGACTGGATGAAAATTCTGGACTGTTATCATTCACATCTGAAACGAGAACACTTATTGTCTTTTCAGTTGAGCGTGCAGGCTGACCAGCGTCTCTTGCAACTACTGATATGTCATATTTGGACTTTTTCTCTCTGTCCAAAGGTGATTTGGTCACTAAAGAATACATTTTGTCTTGTGATGATGGCGACAAAGCAAAAGGAACATCCTCACCGATGGAGCAAATCACTTTCCCGTTGAGACCAGAGTCCAAGTCATTCACACTGATGAGCGCAACGGTTGTCCCGGGTCTGGAATCTTCAGGAATGGAACTGGAAAATGATGTCACTTCAATCTCAGGTGCATTGTCATTCACGTCAACGATCTTGATGATGACACTTTTTTCTGTTGTTAATGGTAGGGAACCTTTATCTGACGCTTGGATTTCAATATCATATTTGTCTTTTTCCTCAAAGTCAATAATTCCTTTCACTGTTATTGCGCCTGTTAGATGATTAATTCCAAAAAGATCTAATAATCTATGACTGACGCTGTTGCTAAATGCATAAACAACCTCTCCATTTGGGCCTTCGTCTAAGTCGGTTGCATTTACTTGAATAATGGTTGTGCCTACTGGAGCATTTTCATAAAGTGTCACAGAATATCCATCTGAAGAGAAAACAGGCGAATTATCATTAGTGTCTAATACATTTATTAAAATATTAATATCACCTGTTTTGGGAGGTTTTCCTCCATCAAGTGCAGTTAACACTAATGAATGACTTCCGGCTGCCTCCCTGTCCAAATATTTTTGCACAATCAATATTGGAATTTTTTCATTGTCTCCTTTATCTTTAATTTCCAAACGGAAATGATCATTTGTGCTAAGTTTATACTGCTGGACAGAGAAAGGGCCACTGTCTGCATCGTGTGCCGCTTTGAGTGGAATTCGCATTCCAGGATGCACCGACTCGGGGATGTCCAAAGTCTTCATTTCCCCCGGGAAATTGGGAGAGTGATCATTAATATCCACGACTTCTACTCCAACATAGTGCACCTCCAGCGGGTGTTCGAGCACCGTTTTTAAATTAATTACACACGCAGTGCTCCGTTCGCATACCTCCTCCCGGTCAATCTTCCTGCTTACGTACAGGATGCCATCATTCTCTCCGAGGCGGAAAAGAGGCTCGGTGGCGCTCGAAACAATCCGGTATTTCCGTTCTTTCAACGTGCTCCTGTCTAATCCCAAATCTTTCGCAACATTTCCGACGATAGTTCCTTCCTTGACTTCCTCAGGGACTGAGTATCTCAATTGAGCCGAGGTGCCACGCCACAAAAGCACAGCAACCACGCAGTAGACCCATCGCAAATGCGCGCTCCTCGCCTCGCATCCTCTTTGTTCCATGATGAAACACAACTACTGTCCAGGCGGCGTGTTGTTGACAAACTACTGCATTGTAATGCGACGGGAGCGTGTGCACTCCCTCAAAAATACGAAAATATGTCAAACAATGGTCGAACGCAGACGCAATCGAACGAGTCAGCTCACACAACTGAAACTGCAATGTCGAGGGATGACCTGCAGGCAGAAGACAATCCGCTGTACTTTCACAATCACAGCGACACCATGTGTTGACATTACGTCCTACAAGTATCCAATTGTAAAACTAAATATGAAATAAAACCACTTTATTTGCATCTGAAATTTTCAAAGACATACCATACAATATCGGCGCGGATTGCATGTGATCAGGCAAACAAAAATACAACATAATTTTAAGTTCAAAACTGCAGATGCGATCAAAATTCCAGACGGAATCTACGATGGTGTCTATGCAAATTAAGTGGCGTAAATGCATCCCGAAAAACAAGTTGTTCGTCTGTATTTCTCTGAATAGGTGTGCGGTGACAAGAGTAGAAGTTTTCAGCACCCTGGACAGCGGACTTGCAATGCAAGTGGGCAGAACTGCGGGATTCAGCTTCCCTCACGTGTTCATATGCTGCACTCTTGCAAAGTAAGGAGTCCCATATATGGTCAGTGTACGAAGCCAAAAGGAATTATGTGACCAATATTTACTAAACCACATGCTGTAATCTGAAGGTTTGTTGTTTTATTATCATTTTGATGGATTCAGGGGGAAAGTCTTGCCATCTGCAAATAACTGGCCAGAATGAGGAACACTGAGCTTACCCACATCCACTGTCTATCGCCTGGCGCTTATTCTCTTCCCGGGTCACAGGGAGGTGGAAGCCATCACAGCTGACTTGGGGCAATTGACAAACTACAACCTGGACTGGTTGTCAGTCAGTCACAGGTCACATATGGCGAGAGATGATGATTCACACCAACAGTGAGCGGGAGGTGAACCCACGCTACTAGCCAGAAGTCAGGTGAGTACGCCACCACATCATCAGTTGACTGCACTTGTATAATCTACACTTAATATTGATTCACACCAGAGGAACAAAGCATCTATCATGAAAACGAAGCCTTGAAAATGATCTCCGTAACATAAAAAAAAAAAGGGGGGGACATGTTGGGCTGGCTCATATTCGACACGCTACATGAAAACATTAAATGGGAAATGAAGATACAAAACAATACAGATGTTCATTACGTTGCATTGTCTATAGGAATGTGTGGCAGTCTATTACACTAAGGGCAAAATACGGAAGTAAACCAGCATAGGTTAGCCTCCATATCAAATGGTGCTACCAAAGTTTGTTAAGAAGAAACAAAGTGCTTTCAATATGCTTTTAAGTTATAAATCACCACAGGAAGTAACCATCAAAACAGTGCACATAATATCAGCATCGATAAACTAAAACTATTCAACAGACAAATGCAGATATGTTTCGGTATGCTGTTTGTGAAAATCAGCCACAGCTTTCTTACCTCCCCTGAAGTGTGTCTCCTGTCAGGGAGCACCAGAGTGTTGGCGTGGCTGCCCGGGACTACGGTCGAACCGATACTCATTCTGGGTCCGACGAGCATGTAGCGCTTGTCTCCTGATCTGTACTGGATGCTGTGACACAGCGTGCCATCATAATTGGCGTCTTGCAGATATTTGGACGTGTACTCTGTGGATTTGGAGCACTGCATGGCGATCAGCACGATGATGCTGATGACAAAAAGGAGCGACACCGAGCCCAAGGTGATGATGAGATAAAAAGTCACATTGTCCTCCTCGTCCACTTTTGCTGCACTTTTGACGTCGGACGCTGCAAAAGCCTCTTTGGGCTCAACGAGCTTGACGATCACAGTGGCTGTTGCTGAGAGTGAAACGTTGCCGTTGTCTTTGACCAGGATGAGCAGTCGATGCTCAGCCTCGTCCGTCTCCGTGAAGGAGCGAAGTGTTCGGATCTGGCCCGTGTAGCGGTCCAAAGAAAACAGACTGTGGTCGCTGACTTGCTGCAGCGAAAACAGCAACCAGCCGTTATATCCGATATCGGCGTCATAGGCTCGGACTTTAGTCACCAAGTCTCCTGCTTTCAGGTTGCGGGGAATCTCCTCCACCCCTTCGGCAGAACCGTTGGAGCTGACTGGATAAAGGATGACTGGAGCGTTGTCGTTCTGATCCAGAATGAACACCTTCACTGTCACGTTGCTGCTCAGTGGAGGACTTCCACCATCGGTGGCCACCACTTGGAAATGGAAACTTTTCAGCGTCTCAAAGTCAAAGCTTTTTAGTGCCGATATTTGTCCATTTTCACTATTTATACTTAGAAATGAAGACAGTTTGTTGTCACCTCTTCCATCTCTGAGAATATGATACGAAATTTTTGCATTCTCATTCTCATCGTGATCAAAAGCTTTGACAGAAAATATGGGGGCCCCTGCATTGTTGCCCTCACTAAGATAAAACGTATAAGGACTGGATGAAAATTCTGGACTGTTGTCGTTCACGTCTGAAATGAAAACGCTGATTGTCTTTTCAGATGAGAGTGCAGGTTGACCAGCGTCTCTTGCAACTACTGATATGTCATATTTGGACTTTTTCTCTCTGTCCAAAGGTGATTTGGTCACTAAAGAATACATTTTGTCTTGTGATGATGGCGACAAAGCAAAAGGAACATCCTCACCGATGGAGCAAATCACTTTCCCGTTGAGACCAGAGTCCAAGTCATTCACACTGATGAGAGCAACGGTCGTCCCGGGTCGGGAATCTTCGGGAATTAAACTGGAAAATGATGTCACTTCAATCTCAGGGGCATTGTCATTGACATCAACTATCTTGATGATGACACTCTTCTCTGTAGTTAGTGGAGCAAGGCCTTTATCTGATGCTTGTATTTCAATTTCATATGTTTCTCTCTCCTCATAGTCTATCAGACCAGAGACAACTATCTCCCCCGTTGAGTGGTTGATGTCAAACATTTTAAATAAAGCATTACTCACACTGTCACCAAATGAGTAAATCACATCTCCGTTTTGACCGTCGTCCAAATCAGTTGCAATTACTTGTACCACTGTTGTGCCCACTGGGGCATTTTCATTCAGTGTCACAGAATACCCATCTGAAGAGAAAACAGGTGCATTATCATTTACATCTAACACGGCTATTAATATGTTCATGTCTCCAGATTTGGGGGGTTTTCCTCCATCTAGAGCAGTCAGCACCAGGGAGTGGCTTTTTGCCGCTTCTCTGTCCAATGATTTCTGCAGAACTAAGACAGGTATTTTACCGTCTTGTCCTTTGTCTTTGACCTCCAAACGAAAATGATCGTTTTCATTCAGTTTATAATTTTGCACGGAAAACGGACCGCTATCAAGATCACGTGACGGTTTCAGCTGAAAGCGAGCTCCGGGCAAAACAGACTCAGAAATGTCCATTTTTTTATCCTTCTCCTCGAAGCTCGGAGCGTGGTCATTTACATCCAGCACGTCCACTCCCACGTAGTGGACCTCCAGTGGGTTTTCCAGCACAGTTTTTAAATTAATCAAACACGTACTGCTCTGTGCACACACCTCCTCTCTGTCGATTAGGCGGCTCACATAGAGGATTCCATCGTTTGGATTCACGTGGAAAAGAGGCTCAGCGTCACTCGAAACGACGCGGTATTTCCTTTCTTTCAGTGTGCCTTTATCCAGTCCAAGATCTTTGGCTATATTTCCGACAAATGTTCCTTCACTGATCCCTTCATGAATGGAATACCTCAAATTCGCCGAGGCCAAGCTGCACAGAATCGCAGCGGCCACAAAGCGGGCTAAACAGTATCGTCCGTTCACCGACACGCATCTCCTTTGTCCCATGACGACCAACGTAAATACTCACTAGAAAAACCCAGGAAGGCGGCTGATGAACATAGAACTTCGATGAACGGCAATGTTCATTATCCTCCTGCAACTTCAGATGTGAATGCAAGTACAATATTTCCAGGATGAGACACACGCTGCCGAGAGATGTGCTCGCGCCCGACAGAACCAGTCAACGAGGTTGATAAAAAATGTGATGACGAAACGTTCATGCGCGCTGGTTTGTACTGTTAGACTGACACCATGCGATCGAAATGTTATCTGCACTGATTCGAGAATATCGATTTGACTTATTTTCTCGTACTTTTGTGCCCATTCATATCAAATTACAATACTCACAAAAAGCCCATCGGACGTTAACAGCTAAAAGCAACGTGACAATATAAAGTGGGTCATATTGGACTACTGCGTTGACATTGAACAAAGGCATGAAAACAATCCAGAGATATTCGGCCAAGCAATAACTTCAATAAAATAGTTGACAGCGACCTCATGTGAACCTCCTGTCACATTTCATCAATCCTAAAAATTGACATTCAACATCGCACTGCCTATAAAGTAGCCCTCTTTCGTTCTAGATAAAAAAAGAAACATAAACCAACATGATGACGCATGCTGATGACGAGAGATCAAGTGCATCACATAGATCCAACAAGGCTTCTCAGTTAGTCTCGGTACCCACATTCTCCCATGCTCGTTATTTTCTCTCAAACTAAAATCAAGTTTGCTGTTTAAAAAATGATATATTACGTATGTCGACGTCCATTCAGCCATCTATTTCTGTCCGGATTATAATGAATTCTGAATGATGCGTTTCAACAATCCCCATGAGAAATTTGGGAATAAAACAAGTAAATGTCAAAATTGCGCAAAATAAATAACGCGATATATAGTGCCAAGTATCCACGGAAAAAAATTCAGGAAAACACAACAGTTCATGAGATTTTAAAATATGCAAAAAGAAACTGTTACTGCTTAGGACACAATGCAAGTGCCTTTGTAATCCTCACGACATCCCGAAATCCCCGCTTTAAAAACACGCGATTGTATTTTGGACTCGCCGTGTTCCCTTTCAACTGCAGCGCACACTTGAAGTAAAGTCGCTAAACTGCTAGGCGTTTCCGGTGAAGCCCTTTCAGAATGAAATATCTGCGCTCAACGGCCCCAACACTGGAAAACTACATAAATCAGTTACTTCACTTGCTTAACGAGACTCAACCATAACAATTAAGCACATACACGGCCATGGTCGTGCAGTCAACTCAATACAATTTTATGTAGCACTTTTACAGCAGCAGGCGCAATCATTTGTCAGACTGTGTTAATCCCCAAAAAAATACAGATGGGGTTTGAAGCATGACGATATTCAGCTACACCTATTCCCTCCACAATATAAAAATGGAAAAAATACATCATCAAATGAAAAAGCGTAATCCATAACACCTTTCAAGTTTTACTCCAAAATTTGTTTCATAAAACATACACACGCAGGCCTGCACAGTTACTAAACCATGGAGTTAGTATGTCTTACCTCCCCGGAAGTGTGTCTCCTGTCAGGGAGCACCAGAGTGTTGGCGTGGCTGCCCGGGACTACGGTCGAACCGATACTCATTCTGGGTCCGACGAGCATGTAGCGCTTGTCTCCTGATCTGTACTGGATGCTGTGGCACAGCGTGCCATCATAATTGGCGTCTTGCAGATATTTGGAAGTGTAAGCTGTGGATTTGGAGCACTGCATGGCGATCAGCACGATGATGCTGATAACAAAAAGGAGCGACACCGAGCCCAAAGTGATGATGAGATAAAAAGTCACGTTGTCCTCCTCGTCCACTTTTGCTGCACTTTTGACATCGGAAGCCGCAAAGGCCTCTTTGGGCTCTACGAGCTTGACTGTCATGGTGGCTGTTGCTGAGAGTGAAACGTTGCCGTTGTCTTTGACCAGGATGAGCAGTCGATGCTCAGCCTCGTCCGTCTCCGTGAAAGAGCGAAGTGTTCGTATCTGGCCCGTGTATCGGTCCAAAGAAAACAGGCTGTGGTCGCTGACTTGCTGCAGTGAAAACAGCAGCCAGCCGTTATATCCGATATCGGCGTCATAGGCTCGGACTTTAGTCACCAAGTCTCCTGCTTTGAGATTCCGGGGAATCTCCTCCACCCCTTCGGCAGAACCGTTGGAGCTGACTGGATACAGGATGACTGGAGCGTTGTCGTTCTGATCCAGAATGAACACCTTCACTGTCACGTTGCTGCTCAGTGGAGGACTTCCACCATCGGTGGCCACCACTTGGAAATGGAAACTTTTCAGCGTCTCAAAGTCAAAACTTTTTAAAGCTGATATTTGTCCATTTTCGCTATTTATACTTAGAAATGAAGACAGTTTGTTGTCACCTCTTCCATCTCTGACAATATGATATGAAATTTTCGCATTCTCATTCTCATCGTTATCAAAAGCTTTGACAGAAAATATGGGCCCCCCTGCATTGTTGCCCTCACTAAGATAAAACGTATAAGGACTGGATGAAAACTCTGGACTGTTATCATTCACGTCTGAAATGAAAACACTGATTGTCTTTTCAGATGAGAGTGCAGGTTGACCAGCGTCTCTTGCAACTACTGATATGCCATATTCAGACTTTTTCTCTCTGTCCAAAGGTGATTTGGTCACTAAAGAATACATTTTGTCTTGTGATGATGGCGACAAAGCAAAAGGAACATCCTCACCGATGGAGCAAATCACTTTCCCGTTGAGACCAGAGTCCAAGTCATTCACACTGATGAGAGCAACGGTCGTCCCAGGTCTGGAATCTTCGGGAATCAAACTGGAAAATGATGTCACTTCAATCTCAGGGGCATTGTCATTAACGTCGACTATCTTGATGATGACACTTTTTTCTGTTGTTAGTGGAGCAAGGCCTTTATCTGATGCCTGGATTTCAATTTCAAATATGTCGTTTTCTTCATAGTCTATAGGTCCTTTCACAACAATCTCACCAGTATTTATGAAGATGTCAAATAAATGCATTACATTTTGATTATTCTTGCTGAAAGAATAAACTACATCTCCATTTGGGCCTTCATCTAAATCAGTGGCATTGACTTGGATAACAGTCGTTCCAATTACAGCATTTTCATCGAGTGTCACTGAATAAACTTCTTTGGAGAAAACAGGCACATTATCATTAACATCTAACACATTTATTGAAATATTAATTTCGCCAGTTTCTGGAGGTCTACCGCCATCCAGTGCAGTTAACACTAACGGAACATGCCCCGTTTTCTCCCGGTCTAAAGATTTTTTAACAACCAAGATGGGAATTTTGCCATCTTTACCTTTATCTTTAACTTCCAGACGAAAATGTTCATTGTCACTTAATTTATATTGCTGAACAGCATACGGACCACTGTCTCCATCCTTCGAAGCCGGTAGCTGAAATCTTGCTCCAGGCAACACTGACTCTGAAATATCGAGTTTTGTTTCTTCCTCGGGAAAACTGGGACTATGATCATTGATATCCAGCACCTCCACTCCAACATAGTGGACCTCCAGTGGGTTTTCCAGCACGGTTTTTAAGCTGATCAAACATGTACTGCTTTGCGGGCACTCCTTTTCCCTGTCGATCTTTCTGCTGACATAAAGGACGCCATCGGTCTGACTCACGTGAAAAAGAGGCTCCGCACGACTGGAAACAATCCGATACTTGCGCTCTTTCAGCGTATTTCTATCCAATCCGAGATCTTTTGCGGCATTCCCAACCACATTTCCTTCTTCGACTTCCTCGGAGATCGAGTATCTTAATTGCGCCGAAGCCACGCTACACAAAAGCACCGCAGCCACGCACCCGAGCAAGCAGCGTCTCGCCCATTGCTGCGCGCCTCTTTGTTCCATGGTGATACGGAAAATCATCACTGGTCCATTCTAAGAAAATCAGATGCACTTGGGGAAACGAAATACAATTGTGTAGTCAATGAGAATATTCCTCCGCTAAGCCATCAAGTTTGGAAATCAGGACAGCTAGACAAGTGACACAGAAGCGACAGACACGGTCATTATGACAGCACGAATGTTAAAGAGGCAGTGGATAGAAACAACCGCTCACAATATGCAGTCACGTGAACATTCAACGGGTACGTGTGCTTACACTGACACCTAGAGATCAACATACATATTACAGAACAAGCGAGGTTCGTAAAGAGCGTTCATTTCAAGCAAAGCAAAGTGCCGAATTACACCACATCTGTGCAAATACCGCAGCTATTCCCCACAATACGGAACCTGAAGGCAGCAAAGACGTCCTTGATTTTAGTACCAGACAAAATCCGTCACATATCACTCGTTTATATAATTTATTTTTACTAGATTACTTGCGTCCTCCATGATATATACACGCCAAAATTGCAAATTTACACAACATTAATTGTCTGAGATCCATGATGAAGAACGTTGCCCAACCATATTCCCACTCACAAGTGACTAGTGAGGCCAATACATCACACCATAGTCATAATAAACCAGTCTTTTCACAATTATTTGCTTTTAACTGTTTTTCTCTTTGTTACGACCATGTTTCTGATAAGAGCCAATGTTTTTACAAAATACATGGCCGACAACCATTTTTCAGCCTCATAGACAGTGGAAGCAGTAATGCTATGGCCAAACCTTAAACTTGTTTTCAATATTTCCATAATTTATAACAGGGAAAACTATGCGCTGGCAGCCAATTTGAAATTAGACAGTTCTGTTAAATATAAAACTCACCAACTCACAAAATGTCCCTACTTCAAAGAGACACGATAACTCAACACTAGCAATGAATTAATTCTGCATTGAAAAAGTGTCCAAACAGATGAATAATCCGATGTATGCCAGAAAAACAGGAAGTTTCCAATAAAGGTAATTATGCATATCTGCTAAGGTATGTAATAATATGCAGAAGGTGATTTGGTTATTACTTTTGTAAATGTATACCCCTAAAAAAACTTGTACCTCCCCAGAAGTGTCTGTCTTGATAGGGAGCACCAAGATGTTGGTGTGGTTGATTAAAAATGATTTTATATGTAATAAAACAAAACTCCAACATTGATATGACCTTTGGATCAACCAAAATCACATGGTGAGCAAATCTGCTGCATCCCACTACACTGAAAAAAAGGGTGTACTGAATTTATTCAGCTTTATTTCATCATGTTTTTGCAAACAATAGAATCATCTGGATCCATTGACATTTTTTTTTTGGAACTTCAACACACATTTTTTTTTCAGTGTAGTCGTACTAATGTGTCTGGTCAGGTGATATCGAAAGTGTTGAGGCCCATTTTTCTCCAAAACATTCTCTGGACAACAGTGAACGTATTAATCCGCTACCCTGTGTAAATAAATGAGTCATAGTCCAAGTCAGTACTGCTCTTCTCATACAAATAAAATCACTAAGAACTGGCATGACTTATGCACCACACACTGATGGATTTTTAGACTACTATTCTATTAAAAAATATGGTTAGAGCCAGATGCTTTCATTTCGTGTCCCCACTTGAGGAAATAAAATTGAGTAAATTCAACACAGTGTTTTGAGTGCAGATATAGCACCAAACTCTCCGAGAGCTTAACAGAGACCCCAACAGAGTCAATCAAAGGTGATCAACTTTAAATTCACCCGCAAATTAAACATGATAACCAACATCAGAAAGTCACAACTTTGGCAGTATCAGAATATGTAAAATTGAAATTGTTACAATTCAATGAAGCAATTTCTCCATTTCAGGGGCATATGTCCTCACATTTATAATAAAATGTAATACCTCCATGTATCTTACCTCCCCTGAAGTGTGTCTCCTGTCAGGGAGCACCAGAGTGTTGGCGTGGCTGCCGGGGACTACGGTCGAACCGATACTCATTCTGGGTCCGACGAGCATGTAGCGCTTGTCTCCTGATCTGTACTGGATGCTGTGGCACAGCGTGCCATCATAATTGGCGTCTTGCAGATATTTGGAAGTGTACTCTGTGGATTTGGAGCACTGCATGGCGATCAGCACGATGATGCTGATGACAAAAAGGAGCGACACTGACCCCAAAGTGATGATGAGATAAAAAGTCACATTGTCCTCCTCGTCCACTTTTGCTGCACTTTTGACGTCGGAAGCTGCAAAAGCCTCTTTGGGCTCCACAAGTTTGACGATCACAGTGGCTGTTGCCGATAGTGACACGTTGCCATTGTCTTTCACCAGGATGAGCAGTCGATGCTCAGCGTCATCCGTCTCCGTGAAGGAGCGAAGTGTTCGGATCTGGCCCGTGTAGCGATCCAAAGAAAACAGACTGTGGTCACTGACTTGCTGCAATGAAAACAGCAACCAGCCGTTATATCCGATATCAGCGTCATAGGCTCGGACTTTAGTCACCAAGTCTCCAGCTTTCAGGTTCCGGGGAATCTCCTCCAGCCCTTCGGCAGAACCGTTGGAGCTGACTGGATACAGGATGACTGGAGCGTTGTCGTTCTGATCCAGAATGAACACCTTCACTGTCACGTTGCTGCTCAGTGGAGGACTTCCACCATCGGTGGCCACCACTTGGAAATGGAAACTTTTCAGCGTCTCAAAGTCAAAACTTTTTAAAGCTGATATTTGTCCATTTTCGCTATTTATACTTAGAAATGAAGACAGTTTGTTGTCACCTCTTCCATCTCTGACAATATGATATGAAATTTTCGCATTCTCATTCTCATCGTTATCAAAAGCTTTGACAGAAAATATGGGCCCCCCTGCATTGTTGCCCTCACTAAGATAAAACGTATAAGGACTGGATGAAAACTCTGGACTGTTATCATTCACGTCTGAAATGAAAACACTGATTGTCTTTTCAGATGAGAGTGCAGGTTGACCAGCGTCTCTTGCAACTACTGATATGTCATATTTGGACTTTTTCTCTCTGTCCAAAGGTGATTTGGTCACCAAAGAATACATTTTGTCTTGTGATGATGGCGACAAAGCAAAAGGAACATCCTCAGCAATGGAGCAAATCACTTTTCCGTTGAGACCAGAGTCCAAGTCATTCACACTGATGAGCGCAACGGTTGTCGCGGGTCGGGAATCTTCGGGAATTAAACTGGAAAATGATGTCACTTCAATCTCCGGGGCATTGTCATTCACGTCAACAATCTTGATGATGACACTCTTCTCTGTAGTTAGGGGGGCAAGGCCTTTGTCTGATGCTTGGATTTCAATTTCAAATATGTCGTTGTCCTCATAGTCTATAGGGCCTTTCACAATTAGTTCGCCTGTTGTTTTTGCGATCTCAAACAAAGCCATAATATTTTGATTCATACTGTTGCTGAAAGAATAAACTACCTCTCCATTTGATCCGTCATCTAAGTCAGTCGCATTTACTTGTATGACAGTTGTTCCGCTTGCAGCATTTTCCTGCAGCCTCACAGAATAAACATCTTTAGAGAAAACAGGTACATTATCATTAACATCTAACACATTTATCAAAATATTCATTTCCCCCGTTTTGGCAGGTTTTCCTCCATCCTGTGCAGTTAACACTAATGTAAGGTGCCCTGTTGTCTCCCGGTCTAAAGATTTTTTAACCACCAAGATGGGAATTTTGCCATCTTTTCCTCGATCTTTGACTTCCAAACGAAAATAATTATTTTCACTGAGTTTATATTGTTGAACTGAAAACGAACCACTATCTCCATCCTGAGCAGCTTTCATCTGAAATTTTGCCCCAGGCAACACTGACTCTGAAATATCGAGTTTTGTTTCTTCCTCGGGAAAACTGGGGGAATGATCGTTTACATCCAGCACTTCCACTCCAACATAGTGGACCTCCAGTGGATTTTCTAGCACGGTTTTTAAGTTGATCAAACACGTATTGCTTTGCGGGCACTCCTTTTCCCTGTCGATCTTTCTGCTGACATAAAGGACGCCATCGGTCTGACTCACGTGAAAAAGAGGCTCCGCACGACTGGAAACAATCCGATACTTGCGCTCTTTCAGCGTATTTCTATCCAATCCGAGATCTTTTGCGGCATTCCCAACCACATTTCCTTCTTCGACTTCCTCGGAGATCGAGTATCTTAATTGCGCCGAAGCCACGCTACACAAAAGCACCGCAGCCACGCACCCGAGCAAGCAGCGTCTCGCCCATTGCTGCGCGCCTCTTTGTTCCATGGTGATACGGAAAACCATCACTGATCCATTCTCAGAAAATCAGATGCACTTGTGAAAACGAAATCCAAGTGTGTAGTCCATGAAAATATTCCTCCGCTCAGCCATCAAGTTTGGAAATCAGGACAGCGAGACAAGTGACACCGCAGCGACAGACACGGTCATTATGACAGCACGAATGTTAAAGAGGCAGTGGATAGAAACAACCGCTCACAAATGCAGTCACGTGAACATTAAATGGGTACGTGTCTTTACACTGACACCTAAAGGTCAAAATACATATTACAGAAGAGGCGAGGACGTGATGAGCGTCCATTTGAAGCACAACAAAGTTCCGAGTCATGCCAAATCCGTGCAAATGTATTTTTACAGGGGCTGAAGCAGCAAAGACGTCCTTGATTTCAGTAGCAAACCAAATACCAGCCCCTCTCACATTACACTCGCACAAATAATTTATTTTTACTCGGTTATTTCCTCCTGCCATTATCAAGAAAACACTGCTGGTAAAACCCGCACCCGATACTCATTGTCTGAGATGAGTAACGAGGAAAATTGCCCAACCATATTCCCAATCACAATTCAAATAAGAGGCTGATACTTCACAGCATAGTCATAAACCATGATTTTAACTATTATTTACTATTTGTTTATTTTATTCCATTTTACTGCCACGTTTCTGATAAGGGCAGAAGTTTTCACGGGAAGCAAGGCATACTGGAGAATGTTTCAGCACCATAGACAGAGGCAGCGGGAATTCTGTGGCTGAACATTCAACAAGAAGAAGGCAAACCAAATACTCCGCTGTCGGGCATTTCAAAATCAGCCAATACTGTTAAACATGGAAAAAAAAAACTTACATTTCCCTAGTCCACAAAAACTGTAATTTTATGCTCGTAATAAAGTTCATGTTGGGAATGTTTTGGAAAATACAGGTGTGTCCAAAGTGATGAATAACTTTAATGTCATAAAAGAAAAAAAGTTGCTATGAGAGGTAGCCATTGAATGGTCTGTGTAACTATGCAGAAATATGCAATAATGTGGAATGGATTATTCATTTGCTTATTTTGTAAATGTAGAAAAAAATAACGGTCTTACCTCCCCGGAAGTGTGTCTCCTGTCAGGGAGCACCAGAGTGTTGGCATGGCTGCCCGGGACTACGGTGGAACCGATACTCATTCTGGGTCCGACTAACATGTAGCGCTTGTCTCCTGATCTGTACTGGATGCTGTGACACAGCGTGCCATCATAATTGGCGTCTTGCAGATATTTGGACGTGTACTGTGTGGATTTGGAGCACTGCATGGCGATCAGCACGATGATGCTGATGACAAAAAGGAGCGACACCGAGCCCAAAGTGACGATGAGATAAAAAGTCACGTTGTCCTCCTCGTCCACTTTTGCTGCACTTTTGATGTCGGAAGCTGCAAAAGCCTCTTTGGGCTCCACAAGTTTGATGGTCACAGTCGCTGTTGCCGAGAGTGACACGTTGCCGTTGTCTTTGACCAGGATGAGCAATCGATGCTCAGCCTCATCCGTCTCCGTAAAGGAGCGAAGTGTTCGGATCTGGCCCGTGTATCGGTCCAAAGAAAACAGACTGTGGTCGCTGACTTGCTGCAGCGAAAACAGCAACCAGCCGTTATATCCGATATCGGCATCATAGGCTCGGACTTTAGTCACCAAGTCTCCTGCTTTGAGATTCCGGGGAATTTCCTCCACCCCTTCGGCAGAACCGTTGGCGCTGACTGGATACAGGATGACTGGAGCGTTGTCGTTCTGATCCAGAATGAACACCTTCACTGTCACGTTGCTGCTCAGTGGAGGACTTCCACCATCGGTGGCCACCACTTGGAAATGGAAACTTTTCACCGTCTCAAAGTCAAAACTTTTTAGTGCTGACACTTCTCCTGTTTCACGATTAACATTCAAAAAGGAGGAGAACAAACGATCAGTTCCTCTATTTCTTAATATCTGATACTCGATCACAGCATTGCTCCCTTCATCATAGTCATGGGCTGTCACCGATAAAATAGAATTGCCAGGAGTGTTATTTTCATTAATGTAAAATATAAATGTGCTCTGGGAGAATTCGGGACTGTTATCATTTACATCAGACACAGTAATTTGTATAGTTTTGTCCGAGGATAAAGATGGGTCTCCTGCATCTTTGGCTAAAATTTTGACGCTAAAATGTGCCTGCTGTTCTCTATCCAAAAGTTGCCTTGTAACCAGGGAATACATATTCTTCTGTAAGGATGGCGACAGCATGAAGGGAACATCTGGACTTGTATGACAAATAACTTTCCCATTCAGACCAGAATCTAAATCTTTAACACTTATTAATGCGACGGTGGTCCCCGCTTTTGCATCTTCTGGCAACGCGTTGGAAAATGACGTCACTTCAATGTCAGGAGCGTTGTCATTTATGTCAACAATATGGATGATGACACTTTTGTCTGTCGACAGTGTCGCCACTGCTTTATCGGAAGCCTGTATGTCTATCTCGTACTTGTCGCACTCTTCAAAATCTATCGGACCTGCCACAGTCACCACCCCTGTCACGTGATTTAAATTAAAACGAGCTCGCGTGCGGGAATCCACGTCATTGCCAAAAGAATAAACCACTTCACCATTTGAGCCTTCGTCTAAATCTGTTGCGTTCACTCGCACCACTATCGTCCCGAGAGCGGAATTCTCATTTAAATACGCAATGTATGGCTCCTGAGTGAAAACTGGGGGATTATCATTGACGTCAGACACCTCCACTATTATTGTCATGTTGCCGGAGAGTGGAGGTTTTCCCCCATCCGTGGCTGTTAAAAATAACACGTGAGTCTTGACGGATTCTCTGTCCAGGGATTTTTGGAGAACCAAAGTGGGCGTTTTACGATCCTCGCCTCGATCTTTCACCTCCAAACGAAAGTGCTCGTTGGGGCTTAGCTTGTAGTGTTGCACGGACAGGGCGCCCGTGTCTCCATCGCGCGCAGCCTGCAGCTGAAGCCTCGCCCCCGGGAGCGCAGATTCAAACATCTCCAACGTCTTTTCCTGCTCCGGGAAGCTTGGTGCGTGGTCGTTTATGTCCGCAACCTCCACGGCCACATAGTGTACCTCGAGTGGGTTTTCCAGGACGGTTTTTAACTCGATCACACAAACCTTGCTGCGGTCACACACTTGTTCTCTGTCAATGTTGCCGTTCACATACAAGACGCCGTCATCCTGATTCACGCGAAAGGGGGGCTCCGCTGTGCCACGCACAATTCGGTAGGCTCTTTCTTTCAGCGTGGCCCTGTCGAGACCCAAATCCTTCGCGATATTCCCAACAGCAGTACCTTCCTTTACTTCCTCCGAGATAGAGTATCTAATTTGTCCCGACACGCGGCTGAAAATCAGAAGCATCAAGCAGGAAACCCACATTGTCTGATGTCCTCTTTGTTCCGTCATGTCACGAGAAAATGCGTTCCGCGAAAATAAACGCATCGAAATATACATACATCCAGCTATTTGAAACTCGTCTCATCAGCAGCCTTGCAAAAATAAAGCATTCGTCTGATCGCCACTGCGTGGTGAAACTGTTACTCCAGAGAGGAAAAAGGTTTGGTCTGTTCTGGTGTGAGTCGAATGGGATGCCTCTTATGATTTTTTTGTTCGGTGGCGTCACCACGTTATCACTCGTTTTCCGGCGTTTTACTGGCACCATGTGATGCCGAATGGCACAGCATTTATTCCTGATTTATTATAAAGCAAATAATTTCACCCTACTGAAAAATGATTATACAATTTCAGCTTCACGGTCAGACACAGTCTGTATCTTGACGACAGGACATATTGAAATGAGCTAAATATTCGACTGGGAACGTTGATAATTTTAAATCACTGTTCTTACCAAATGACTAAAACTTCACAAACGTAATCACAATTATACATGTTAACATGTAGATGATGTTTGCGCTAATTACAACGGTATTTGCTTATATAATTATTAAATTTGTCACATTGCCAAATGAAGCTTTGCTTCATTTTAAAATGTTCCACCTGCAACCTTATTCCAAAGTCGTTCTCACTTTAGTGCCTTCTTTTTTTTTTACAAATTAGTTAAAAGGAGGGAGGAGAGAGAGAGAGAGAGAGAGAGAGAGAGAGAGAGAGAGAGAGAGAGTCAAAATTTGTCACCTCAAAGACTTCGAAACGCACTTTTGTTTCACAGAGGTGCATTATGTATTTGCCTGCAATTCTGGCATTTGGTAAAAGATACAACGTGGAACTGCAAGGAATAATCAGTCAAAAACATACAAATAAGAATGATCCCCCATGATCCATGAGTGCCGATGTCCAACAAACTAAAGACTCTGTAATCTGAACACTTGCCTGACCAAAAAGACTGCACAAAATCTGTACCATTGACTGTATAACTTCACTCCCGTTTTCACTCAGAGTCCACATACAACAAAGTCTAATTACATGGATGTGAAAATTCATGTGTGCAGTAGAAATCATTTAATAATCTAATAACACAAAGCTTACCTCCCCTGAAGTGTGTCTCCTGTCAGGGAGCACCAGAGTGTTGGCGTGGCTGCCCGGGACTACGGTCGAACCGATACTCATTCTGGGTCCGACGAGCATGTAGCGCTTGTCTCCTGATCTGTACTGGATGCTGTGACACAGCGTGCCGTCATAATTGGCGTCTTGCAGATATTTGGAAGTGTACTCTGTGGATTTGGAGCACTGCATTGCGATCAGCACGATGATGCTGATGACAAAAAGGAGCGACACCGAGCCTAAAGTGACGATGAGGTAAAAAGTCACATTGTCCTCTTCGTCATCTTTTGCTGCACTTTTGACATCGGAAGCTGCAAAAGCCTCTTTGGGCTCCACAAGTTTGATGGTCACAGTAGCTGTTGCCGAGAGCGAAACATTGCCATTGTCCTTGACCAGGATGAGCAGTCGATGCTCAGCCTCGTCCGTCTCCGTGAAGGAGCGAAGTGTTCGGAACTGGCCCGTGTAGCGGTCCAAAGAAAACAGACTGTGGTCGCTGACTTGCTGCAGCGAAAACAGTAACCAGCCATTATATCCGATGTCGGCGTCATAGGCTCGGACTTTAGTCACCAAGTCTCCTGTTTTCAGGTTGCGGGGAATCTCCTCCACCCCTTCAGCAGAACCGTTGGAGCTGACTGGATACAGGATGACTGGAGCGTTGTCGTTCTGATCCAGCATGAACACCTTCACTGTCACGTTGCTGCTCAGTGGAGGACTTCCACCATCGGTGGCCACCACTTGGAAATGGAAACTTTTCAGCGTCTCAAAGTCAAAGCTTTTCAGTGCCATTACTTCGCCGGTGTCTGGGTTGATGTTTATGAATGACAACAATTTAATGTCTGCGGTTGCATCTCTGATAATCTGATAAGAAATTTGAGCATTGTCAGCTTCATCCTTATCAGAAGCTTTGACAGAAAACACAGGGGCTCCAGGTGTGTTGTTTTCAGTGATATAAAATGTATAAGGGCTTGATGAAAACTCTGGACTGTTATCATTTACATCTGACACGACAACAGTTATGGTCTTTTCCGTTGAAAACACTGGCTCGTTCGTGTCCTTCGCAATGATGGTGACCTCATATTGAGAAACATGCTCCCTATCTAATCTCGACTTTGTGACTACAGAGTACATGTTGTCTTGTAAAGATGGCGATAAAGAAAACGGAACATTTTGTTTGATGGCACATAGCACTTTACCATTAATTCCGGAGTCTAAGTCACTGACACTGATCAGAGCCACAGTGGTTCCTATTTTTGCATCCTCCTTAATGGAGTTTGAAAATGAAGTCACCTCTATTTCGGGGGCATTATCATTGACATCAATGATGGTTATCAAGACACTCTTATCAGCTGTCAAAGGAACTGTCCCTTTATCAGACGCATGTATATCAATTTCATAGCTTTTGCTTTCCTCAAAATCAAGGTGGCCAATCACTTTAATTTCACCAGTGTTTGAGTCTATACTGAAAAGTTCTGTTACTTTGAAGTCCACCTCCTTGCCGAATGAATAGACTATTTCACCATTTGCGCCCTGGTCCAAATCTGTCGCATTTACCTGAATCACAAGCGTGTCCACTGGAACGTTTTCATTCAAGGAGGCAGAGTAAACCTCCTTGTCAAACATGGGAGAGTTATCGTTCACATCGAGCACATCCACGATTATTTCTATGGAGCCTGACTTGGGGGGTTTCCCCCCGTCTACCGCTGTAAGGCGCAGACGGTGTCTCCCAATTGTCTCTCTATCTAACTGCTTGAGCAGGACTAAAAATGGAACTTTACGGTCCTCGCCTCTGTCCTTTACCTCAACACGAAAATAGTCATTTTGATTAAGTTTGTATTGTTGAATGGAAAACTGTCCCACATCGGGGTCTCGCGCCGCTTGGAGTTGGAACCGGGCTCCCGGCATAGCCGACTCCCATATTTCAAAGCGTTTTTCTTTTTCGAGAAAAACAGGTGAATGGTCGTTAATGTCTAATATTTCCACCGCAACGTAGTGCACCTCCAACGGATGTTCAAGCACTGTTTTCAGGTTGATCACACACGGGCTGACGCGTTCACACGCCTCTTCTCTGTCTATCCTCCTCGCCACAAACAAGATGCCGTCGTCCTGGTTCACTTCCAGAATGGGCTCAGCCGTGCCGGCCACGATGCGGTATCCTCGCCCTTTAAGTGCACCCTTATCCAACCCCAAATCCTTCGCAATGTTCCCGACCACAGATCCCTCTTGAACCTCCTCTGATATGGAATATCTGAGCTGTGCACATGTTCCATTGCACAAAATGAGCACTAAAGACAACCAGCAGCGTCGCTCCCTCCTACCTCCGCCTCGCCTTTGTTCCATGCCGTGGAAATGACAATTGTCCTTCCGATGTGCAATGTCCTGCAAAAGACGAGTGTGTGCTGGTGCTGAATGAGCCACGAAAAAAAACCCCGAACCAGTCACATCAATGAGCTATGAGAATAAAATCAGCGATTTGCGAATCACGGCACGACACACCGCGTATGAAGCACTGAGAAGTAACAAAAACCAGGCAGTCAGGTTTGAAAAAGGACCGTGACGTCAAGTAGTGCTTCACACGAAGATATATTGGGGTATACTGACCCCTACTGTCGAATAAACGTAACACATGAATACTGTCTCGAAAACCTGTTTATATTCGCACACGAAGCAAGCAAATGGGGAAGATTAAAACGATTTGTTTTCTACAGAAGTACGCAACTCACGTCCGTTCAAAAATAATACAATGGAAGCCAATTTCAAAACAAGACACACGCAGACGCGCACACACATCGGCAATTGGTTTGAAGAAACATGTTTGATGTTCTCTGAAATTACAAGACAGCAATTGAAACCATATCCATCTTGTCCAAACCAGATGATAGCAACAACACGCAAATGTGGCCACGTGTGCAATATAATATGTTGGCATGCAAGGACATGCAGCAGTTGAGAGAAGAGAAAAATCAGCTGTTCTTCAGCGTAAATTAGAATAAAAGTTACCTTTCAAATTCGTGGGGAGCAGTTTAATCAAATGGCCATTGAATTTATGAACAACTTGAGTGTAACCTTGATAACCACTTGGCAGCATGTATCAAAGAAATAATTTTTTGCACATTCTTTACCCAAAGATGTAGCCTATTGTGTTTACAACCAAATATAAATGTCGGTAAAGACAGCACTACATACTGATGGGAAATAAACTTATTCAAGAAACACATTTGCATTTATGCCACTGCCTAACAATGTTTAAAACACACATTCCCAAGTCAGGAAGAAGCATAAATTCACTCTTCATTTCCAAGAGTTCACAGCAACCCAAGAAACAACGAACCAATGCCATGAAAAACATCCATGTATCCATTTTCTAATCTGCTTTTCCTCACAAGGGCTGTGGGCGTGCTGGAGCCTATCCCAGCTGTTTTATAGGGCAGTAGGCGGGGTACACCCTGAAGTGGTTGCCAGCCAATTGCAGGGCACACATAGACGAACCTAGGGTCAATTTAGAGCAGGCGTGGGCAATCCCAAATGATCAGATCATCAGCAAGCTCTGTCAAGGCCTGAACAATTGAATCAGTTGTGTTGCAACAGGGACAGATGGAAAACATGCAGGATAGCGGCCCTCCAGGACTGGAATTGCCCACCCCTGATTTAGAGTGTGACATCAACCTGCAATGCATATTTTTGGGGATGTGGGAGGAAACCGGATCACCAGGAGAAAACCCAAGCAGGCACGGGCATTACAAACACTGCTATTGAAAAAGCTTCCTTACCTCCCCCGAAGTGTGCCTCCTGTCAGGGAGCACCAGAGTGTTGGCGTGGCTGCCCGGGACTATGGTCGAACCGATACTCATTCTGGGTCCGACGAGCATGTAGCGCTTGTCTCCTGATCTGTACTGGATGCTGTGACACAGCGTGCCATCATAATTGGCGTCTTGCAGATATTTGGAAGTGTACTCTGTGGATTTGGAGCACTGCATGGCGATCAGCACGATGATGCTGATGACAAAAAGGAGCGACACCGAGCCCAAAGTGATGATGAGATAAAAAGTCACGTTGTCCTCCTCGTCCACTTTTGCTGCACTTTTGACTTCGGAAGCTGCAAAAGCCTCTTTGGGCTCCACAAGTTTGATGGTCACAGTCGCTGTTGCCGAGAGCGAAACGTTGCCGTTGTCTTTGACCAGAATGAGCAGTCGATGCTCAGCCTCATCCGTCTCCGTGAAGGAGCGAAGTGTTCGGATCTGGCCCGTGTAGCGGTCCAAAGAAAACAGGCTGTGGTCGCTCACTTGGTGCAGCGAAAACAGCAACCAGCCGTTATATCCGATATCGGCGTCATAAGCTCGGACTTTAGTCACCAAGTCTCCTGCTTTCAGGTTGCGGGGAATCTCCTCCACCCCTTCGGCAGAACCGTTGGAGCTGACTGGATACAGGATGACTGGAGCGTTGTCGTTCTGATCCAGAATGAACACCTTCACTGTCACGTTGCTGCTCAGTGGAGGACTTCCACCATCGGTGGCCACCACTTGGAATTGGAAACTTTTCAGCGTTTCGAAGTCAAAGCTTTTTAGTGCCAGAATGTCTCCCGTTTCAGAATTAATATTCAGAAATGATGCGTGCCCATTTTCTTTTGCTATGTTCCTCAAAATGTGATAAGAAATTAGTGCGTTTTCACCTTCGTCACGATCAAATGCCTTTACGCAAAATATAGAATCACCCGGTTTATTATTTTCACTAATGTAGAACGTGTAAGGATTCTGTAAAAATTCCGGGCTGTTGTCATTTGTATCGGATAAAAAAACACTGATCATCTGTTTGGAGGTAAGAGCTGGTTCACCCGAGTCTTGAGCAATTATCGTTATATCGTATGCCCGTTTCTGCTCCCTGTCAAGCTGGGACTTAGTAACAACAGCAAACATGTTATCCTGCATAGATGCAGTTAACATAAAAGGGGACTCTTCGGAAACATTAATTATTATTTTGCCGTTAAGGTCAGAGTCTAAATCCTTAACACTGATGAGAGCTACTGTTGTCCCGGGTCTCGAGTCTTCGGAAACTGCGCGAGACAAAGACGTGACTTCTATCTCCGGACGATTATCATTCATATCAATAATTTTAATAATTACACTTTTATCCGTTTTAAATGGAATATTTCCTTTATCCGATGCCTGGATGTCAATATCATAACTGTCTTGCTCCTCATAATCAACGTTGCCCTTCACAATAATTTCCCCAGTGACAGAATCTATGTCAAATAATTGTCTAATTTTATCTTTGATGTCACTTCCAAACGAATAAACAACCTCCCCGTTGGAGCCGAAATCCGAATCCGTTGCATTAACTTGAATGACAGCCGTGCCCACTGGCGCGTTCTCTTGCAGCGTTACAGAATAAGACTCTTTCGTGAACACCGGCATGTTGTCGTTCACGTCCAGAACCTCGATGAGGATTTCAACCGAGCCCGTTTTGGGGGGTGTACCCCCATCTATGGCTGTCAGCACCAGTTTGTGGTTGCGTTTGCTCTCTCTGTCGAGCTGCCTCTGCAACTGCAAAATTGGCGTTTTGCCGTCTCGCCCTCGGTCTTTCACCTCCAAGCGGAAGTGATCGTTTTGGCTTATTTTGTACTGTTGCACCGAATTTAGACCGCCGTCCGGGTCATATGCATTCTGCAGTTGATATTTCGCACCCGGCAAAGCGGACTCGACTATTTCCAGTCTTTTTGTCTTCTCCGGGAACGTGGGGGTGTGGTCGTTTATATCTATTATTTCCACGGTGATATAATGCACCTCCAGTGGGTTGTCGAGGACGGTTTTAAGATTAATCAGGCACGCATTACTCTCCTTACAAACCTCCTCTCGGTCAATTTTACGGTTTGCATAAAGGGCGCCGTCGTTCTCATTTACCTTAAAGAGCTGTTCACTCGAGCTGGACATAATGCGGAAGCCCCTCTGCTTTATTGAAGCCAGGTCTATTCCTAAATCCTTCGCAACATTCCCAACAAAAGTCCCCTCATTGAGCTCCTCAGATATGGAATATCTGTGCTGTGCGGAAGCAGAACGGACGCATAAAAACAAGGCCAAGAATCCGAGCAAGGGCCGGCGCTCCCGTCCTCTTTGTTCCATGTTGAGCGACCAAAACAGAGATCCAAACATGTCCAAAATGTCCCCGAATTTCTAGTATATTTTCGTCATTGCAGACTGCAAAATAACAGCACCCACAACTCCCTTTGCGCTGTTAAATTAAAAAAGCGCGAAAGTACGAACGGACATGAAAGGATCAACGTGGGTTCGTCCAAATGTGTCAGCTGAATGCTGTATAATCACCAGCCTGAAGATTGAATGGGCGGGCTCAGCTTGTGCGCTTCAACGTTAAATGCTTACAATACATGGTAGCATACTGCCACCCCGTGAATGTGTGGAAGACAGGAATCACATTTCATTTTCACCTCGAAAGACAACAATTCCTGCAAATGCTGACACACGCTTGCAGACATGTTGAACTCCACACATTCAAATAAAAATAGACTGCTATCAAAGCTCTCGAACTCAACATCGTGCGTTCAATTGCAATGTGATAAAACATCAAGACAGTGAGAGAGAAACGTCGTATTTTGGTGAAGGAAACAGAATTTTCTTTGCGGATATTATCACGTTTTTAAAAAGAGCTGTTTAATTACTAAGTGCTCATTGAAACTTCCTTTGAGCGTATGTGATCAGTTTCCCACGATGAACCCACAATCATGCAGTTGATGCGCCAGACAGTCACAAAACAACCCATGGCACTTTTATCCATCACAGTGACACCAGACATTCTTAATGATCATATAAAAGCAATTTTTAAAATTCATCATACATTCAACAAGCATGTCAACCAAACATTCTGATCCACACGAATAATGATCCTTGCCATCACGCAAACATAAGCTCTGCATCAATTTAAGTGAAAAGAAACCAAAAGCACGAAAAGCCTGATGCAATTTACTACACTGAATTGTCGTGCTGAAAAAGGCGTGGCTAAAATGAGGTGTTTTCCGCTACGTTTCGCGACAGACGTGTGGAAACAAGAACAAGAGTTTCCAGCACCATGGACAGCAACGCTACAGTGCAAGTGAGCGTAATTTACAGAAACCACATCATCTTCCCTTGTCTTGGTATCATCTGCACATTTGCTAGGTATGGAGACCCATTAATATTAATTCTACTTTATTAGAGATGGTGCACATCCAGTATGGGTTCCTACCATTCATTTAGAATGAAGAGATGTAGTCATAGGTGGTGTCATTCAGCAGTAGGAGAAGTGTATTTCAGATCACAACAATTCCATAATTGGCTAAACGTTTTGAGTACCACAATTACTTGAAAGTTAAGACTAGTGTGTGAGATCTTGTGTTGGTAGCTTTTGCCTGCGGACAGTAAAGTAAAAATAATAGAGTGGTCAATGAGTACATGCATCATCATTCATGTTTTTGTTTTCTTGTTTTCACTGCTAAAGTCAAAACACTGAAAAACTTTAGTTGAGTTGTTGCAATAACAAGGTACAAAATGATCAAATATTAAAAAAAACAAAAAAAAAAAACAAAGGTAATGGATCATATCTTCCAAGCAACACATTTTAAAATGAAACCCCATGTGCAATACATAATCACTGCATGTGTTGAACAAATCTTAAAACTATTCAACAACAGATGAATTGAAACACTAAAGGTTGCAGGCAGACTATCATTCTTAAGCTTCCTTACCTCCCCCGAAGTGTGTCTCCTGTCAGGGAGCACCAGAGTGTTGGCATGGCTGCCCGGGACTACGGTCGAACCGATACTCATTCTGGGTCCGACTAGCATGTAGCGCTTGCCGCCTGATCTGTACTGGATGCTGTGACACAGCGTGCCGTCATAATTGGCGTCTTGCAGATATTTGGAAGTGTACTCTGTGGATTTGGAGCACTGCATGGCGATCAGCACGATGATGCTGATGACAAAAAGGAGCGACACCGAGCCCAAAGTGACGATGAGATAAAAAGTCACGTTGTCCTCCTCGTCCACATTTGCTGTACTTTTGACATCGGAAGCTGCAAAAGCCTCTTTGGGCTCTACGAGTTTGACAGTCACAGTCGCTGTTGCAGAGAGTGAAACGTTGCCGTTGTCTTTGACCAGGATGAGCAGTCGATGCTCAGCCTCGTCGGTCTCCGTGAAGGAGCGAAGTGTTCTGATCTGGCCCGTGTAGCGATCCAAAGAAAACAGGCTGTGGTCGCTGACTTGCTGCAGCGAAAACAGCAACCAGCCGTTATATCCGATATCGGCGTCATAGGCTCCGGCCTTATTCACCAAGTCTCCTGCTTGACTTTAGTCACCCAGTCTCCTGCTTTCAGGTTGCGGGGAATCTCCTCCACCCCTTCGGCAGAACCATTCGTGCTGACTGGATACAGGATGACTGGAGCATTGTCGTTCTGATCCAGAATGAACACCTTCACTGTCACGTTGCTGCTCAGTGGAGGACTTCCACCATCGGTGGCCACCACTTGGAAATGGAAACTTTTCAGCGTCTCAAAGTCAAAGCTTTTTAATGCTGATATTTGTCCATTTTCTGAATTGATATTTAAACTGTGCAAATAAATGTGTTCCTTCTCTCTTCCATCTCTTAAAATGTGATATGTAATGTGGGCATTTTCACCTTCATCGTGGTCAAATGCGCTCACCGAAAACGCGGATTGGCCTGGAGGGTTGTTCTCAGTCACGTAAAATGCGTAAGGGCTCGAGGAAAACTCTGGACTGTTGTCATTCACATCTGAGACAGCAAAAGTTATGCTTTTTTCAGACGACAAAGAAGGCACACCTGCATCTCTAGTAACTACTCTAACCTCATATGTGGATTGCTGTTCTCTATCCAATGGTGATTTTGTGACGATAGAATACATGTTATCTTGTGTTGAAGGCGTTAATAAAAAGGGAACATTTTCACTGAGTGAGCAAATTACTTTTCCATTCAGACCAGAGTCTTCATCAAGTACACTGATTAATGCTACAGTGGTTCCCGGTCTTGCATTTTCTTTTATTGCGCTGGAAAATGACGTCACTTCGATCTCTGGAGTGTTGTCATTCATATCAATTATTTTTACTAGGACACTTTTTTCTGTCTGCAAAGGAGCAGATCCTTTATCAGAAGCCTGTATGTCAATTTCATAGCTTTCCTCTAATTCCGAATCAATCAGAGCTTGTACAGTTATTACACCTGTTTGAGGATTTATGCGGAACAGTTCACGTATTTTGCTATTTACATTATTTCCTAATGTATAGATAATTTCACTATTGGTGCCCTCATCTGAATCAGTGGCATTCACTTGTATAACAGTCGTGCCAATTGGCGCATTTTCATGCAGAAGCACTGAATAATTATCTTCAATGAAAATAGGCACATTATCATTAACATCTAAAACACGCACCCATATTTCAGCAGTTCCGGATCTACTCGGTTTTCCTCCGTCAATCGCTGACAACAGCAATTTGTGTTTGCTCTTTGTTTCTCTGTCGAGCGACTTTAACAGCACTAAAATTGGTATTTTGCCATCCTTTCCTCGTTCTTTCACTTCCAAACGAAAATGGTCATTTGCACTGAGTTTATAGTCCTGGATGGAAAAGGGCCCGACGTCGGGGTCGTGTGCAGCTTGCAGCTGGAGGCGCAAACCCGGCAAAGCAGATTCTGAAATTTCCAGACGTGATGCGTTCACGGAGAAGCTTGGAGAGTGGTCGTTAATGTCGAGCACCTCCACGCTGACATAGTGAATTTCCAGCGGGTTTTCCAACAACGTTTTGAGCTGAATTACACACGCGCTGCTGCGCTCGCACACCTTCTCCCTGTCGATGACTCGGTCCACGTAAAGCAGACCGTCACCGTGGTTGACGCTAAAGAACGTCTCTGATGAGCCCTCGACGATGCGGTACCCTCGCTCTTTCAGCGTGGCCTTGTCGAGTCCCAAATCCTTCGCTATGTTTCCCACAACAGTTCCTTCTTTCACCTCTTCTGCGATGGAATATCTGATCTGTGCGCAAACTCCGCTCCACGACAAAATAAGCACAGCAATCAAAGCAAACAATCGCCTTTGTCCAACAGATGAGTCACGTCCTCCACGTTTCATAATGATGGAGCAGGAATATCCACAGTGAAAAAAAAATACCTTCGCCAAATGGCAATATATTCCAAAACTGTATTGTTAGGTAAATCCAACCACAGCGCTGACTATAGTCACCGTGAGCGCCCAGAATGCACCAAGCGCTATTGTGTAAAAATCCACCCGACAAAGGGGAGGATCATTTTTTTTGACAAAGAGATTCTCTCCGAGCACATTCGTGCACATACTGACACCAAGTGATCGCTTCCAGTATGTCGGATACGGAGACTTTCATCATTTGATTACAAATATACACAGGTACTCGTCAATGACATACATGAACGATTTCGATCTAAAAAAAACGAAAGAAGAATTAAGAATCGTTGCGCAATCACACAATGAGAAGGCAAACATTTGGCCTACCGATTCAACATCACACTGCACTCCTAAATTAATGTGTGGTTCCGAAATTCGCCACTGAGATTTGGACGACCGTTTGGATAAGAGTTTTATTATCCAACAAAAATTTTGAAGGCTTTATTTATAGTTTGAAACCGTGGTACTGGTGTATGACACAACATTTATTCTTTGGAATATTTGTTTCATGTCGTCTGTTCTAGATGAGTAATAAAACAGGTCGCTTGGGATCTTGAAGTGAGTCCCCGCCTGCTTTTGGCATGAAAAAACAAATATTTAAAGAGGACTTTTATTTTGAAGGACAACACCAGAAAAGTGCAGCGGTCTCACGATAGCGGTGAACACGTGACTTGACTAACACGACTCAAATGTGTGGAGTTTGGATGCCAGCTGCAGAAGGGTAAATATTTAATGTTTATTGTGGATTTTTGCACCTATAAAAACACGAGACAGCGTGCTCTTTTGATATTGTGTGCA